AGAGATGGTAAATATGTAGGTAGGTATGTAGGTAAAGGAGAGATGGTAAATAGTTAGGTAGGTATGTAGGGAAAGAAGAGATGGTAAATAAGTAGGTAGGTATGTAGGGAAAGAAGAGATGGTAAATAGTTAGGTAGGTATGTAGGTAAAGAAGAGATGGTAAATAGGTAGGTAGGTATGTAGGGAAAGAAGAGATGGTAAATAGGTAGGTAGGTATGTAGGTAAAGAAGAGATGGTAAATAGGTAGGTATGTAGGTAAAGAAGAGATGGTAAATAGGTAGGTAGGTATGTAGGTAAAGAAGAGATGGTAAATAGGTAGGTATGTAGGTAAAGAAGAGATGGTAAATAGGTAGGTAGGTATGTAGGTAAAGAAGAGATGGTAAATAGGTAGGTATGTAGGGAAAGAAGAGATGGTAAATAGGTAAGATAGATATGTAGGGAAAGAAGAGATGGTAAATAGGTAGGTAGGTATGTAGGTAAACGAGAGATGGTAAATAGGTAGGTATGTAGGTAAAGAAGAGATGGTAAATAGGTAGGTAGGTATGTAGGGAAAGAAGAGATGGTAAATAGTTAGGTAGGTATGTAGGTAAAGAAGAGATGGTAAATAGGTAGGTAGGTATGTAGGGAAAGAAGAGATGGTAAATAGGTAGGTATGTAGGTAAAGAAGAGGGTAAGTAGTATGTAGGAAAAGAAGAGATGGTAAATAGGTAGGTAGGTATGTAGGTAAACGAGAGATGGTAAATAGGTAGGTATGTGTAAAGAAGAGATGGTAAACAGTTAGGATATGTAGGGAAAAGAAGATGGTAAATAGTTAGGTAGGTATGTAGGTAAAGAAGAGATGGTAAATAGGTAGGTAGGTATGTAGGGAAAGAAGAGATGGTAAATAGGTAGGTAGGTATGTAGGTAAAGAAGAGATGGTAAGATAGGTAGGTATGTAGGTAAAGAGGTGGTAAATTGAGTAGGTATGGTAAAGAGATAGTAGGTATGTAGGTAAAGAAGAGATGGTAAATAGGTAGTAGGTATGTAGGTAAAGAAGAGATGGTAAATAGGTAGGTATGTAGGGAAAGAAGAGATGGTAAATAGGTAAGATAGATATGTAGGGAAAGAAGAGATGGTAAATAGGTAGGTAGGTATGTAGGTAAACGAGAGATGGTAAATAGGTAGGTATGTAGGTGAAGAAGAGATGGTAAATAGGTAGGTAGGTATGTAGGTAAAGAAGAGATGGTAAATAGGTAGGTATGTAGGAAAAAAGAGATGGTAAATAGGTAAGATAGTATGAGGGAAAAGAGTTGTAAATAGGTAGGTATGTATGGAAGAAGAGATGGTAAATAGGTAGGTAGGTATGTAGGTAAAGAAGAGATGGTAAATAGGTAGGTATGTAAAAGGTAGTAGGTTGTAGGTAAAAGGTGGTATAGGAGGTAGGTAAAGAAGAGAGATGGTAAATGTAGGTAGGTATGTAGGTAAAGAATATTGTAAATAGGTAGGTATGTAGGTAAAGAAGAGATGGTAAATAGGTAGGTAGGTATGTAGGTAAAGAAGAGATGGTAAATAGGTAGGTATGTAGGTAAAGAAGAGATGGTAAATACGTAGGTAGGTATGTAGGTAAAGAAGAGATGGTAAATAGGTAGGTAGGTATGTAGGTAAAGAAGAGATGGTAAATAGGTAGGTATGTAGGTAAAGAAGAGATGGTAAATAGGTAGGTAGGTATGTAGGTAAAGAAGAGATGGTAAATAGGTAGGTATGTAGGTAAAGAAGAGATGGTAAATAGGTAGGTAGGTATGTAGGTAAAGAAGAGATGGTAAATAGGTAGGTATGTAGGTAAAGAAGAGATGGTAAATAGGTAGGTATGTAGGTAAAGAAGAGATGGTAAATAGTAGGTAGGTATGTAGGTAAAGAAGAGATGGTAAATAGGTAGGTAGGTAAGGTAAAGAGATGGTAATAGTAGGTATGTTAAGAAGGTAAATAGGTAGGTATGTAGGTAAAGAATGGTAAAGTAGGTAGGTATTAGGTAAAGAAGAGATGGTAATAGGTAGGGGTATGTGAGTGGTAAATAGGTAGGTATGTAGGAAGAAGATGGTAAAAGGTAGGTAGGTATGTAGGTAAAGAAGAGATGGTAAATAGGTAGGTTGTAGGTAGAGATGGTAAATAGGTAGGTATGTAGGTAAAGAAGAGATGAACAGTAGGTAGGTATGTAGGTAAGAAGAGATGGTAAATAGGTAGGTAGGTATGTGTAAGAAGAGATGGTAAATAGGTAGGTAGGTAGGTAAAGAAGAGATGGTAAATAGGTAGGTATGTAGGTAAAGAAGAGATGGTAGATAGGTAGGTATGTAGGTAAAGAAGGGATGGTAAATAGGTAGGTAGGTATGTTAAAGAAGAGATGGTAAATAGGTAGGTATGTAGGTAAAGAAGAGATGGTAAATAGGTAGGTATGTAGGTAGAAAGAGATGGTAAATAGGTAGGTAGGTATGTAGGTAAAGAAGAGATGGTAAATAGGTAGGTATGTAGGTAAAGAAGAGATGTAAATAGGTAGGTATGTGTAAAAGAGATGGTAAAATAGTGTAGGTATGTAGGTAAAGAAGAGATGGTAAATAGGTAGGTAGGTATGTAGGTATAGAAGAGATGGTAAATGGGTAGGTAAGGTGTAGGTAAAGAAGAGATGGTAAAAGGTAGGTATGTAAAGAAGAGATGTAATAGGTAGGTATGTAGGTAAAGAGATGGTAAATAGGGTGGTATGTAGGTAAAGAAGAGATGGTAAATAGAGGTATGTAGGTATAAAGAGATGGTAAATAGGTAGGTATGTAGGTAAAGAAGATGGTAAATAGGTAGGTATGTAGGTAAAGAGGATGGTAACAGGTAGGTAGGTGTGTAGGTAAAAGAGATGGTAAATAGGTAGGTATGTAGGTAAAGAAGAGATGTAAGGTAGGTAGGTATGTGGAAAGAAGAGATGGTAAATAGGTAGGTATGTAGGTAAAGAAGGTGTGTAATAGGTAGGTAGGTATGTAGGTAAAGAAGAGATGGTAAATAGGTAGGTATGTAGGTAAAGAAGAGATGGTAAATAGGTAGGTATGTAGGTAAAGAAGAGATGGTAAATAGGTAGGTAGGTATGTAGGTAAAGAAGAGATGGTAAATACGTAGGTAGGTATGTAGGTAAAGAAGAGATGGTAAATAGGTAGGTATGTAGGTAAAGAAGAGATGGTAAATAGGTAGGTAGGTAGGTAAAGAAGAGATGGTAAATAGGTAGGTAGGTATGTAGGTATAGAAGAGATGGTAAATAGGTAGGTATGTAGGTAAAGAAGAGATGGTAAATAGGTAGGTATGTAGGTATAGAAGAGATGGTAAATAGGTAGGTAGGTATGTAGGTATAGAAGAGATGGTAAATAGGTAGGTAGGTAGGTAAAGAAGAGATGGTAAATAGGTAGGTAGGTATGTAGGTATAGAAGAGATGGTAAATAGGTAGGTATGTAGGGAAAGAAGAGATGGTAAATATGTAGGTAGGTATGTAGGTAAAGAAGAGATTGGTAGTTGGATAAATAGTTAGTTTAATGTAATATTTATAAAAACAAGTTATTTCCTGTTATCAGTTGTTACAGCAGATATAAACAGTCTTTCCCTCTCTAGCTTCTCCTTTTCTTCTTCTAGAAGTTAATAAGAGAATAAATGCTCATCATGTTACTGAGAACATCAACACTTTTTAAATACCGCATTATCTATTTATTCACTCAGCGTGTTTTCTGATTAGCAATGAGCGGGATTTGTTCTGTTGTGGGCTGCTTTTGTTGTTGTTACTGTGTTATGCACTAACGGTTGTGTATCTCTGGATTAACGTGTTAAATCTATAGATTAATGAATTATCAACATAGTTCAGAGTCACACAACTATTCACAGCTACACACAACTGGGATAAGATACACAGACAGACAGACAGACAACCAGAAAACATAATGCCGCCATCACCTGGTGGAGGACGTATACAAAAGAGAAAGTATCTACGTACCTGACTATTATAGAGCTCCAGATGTGAAAGTTTAAAATCTTGAAACATCTCAATGTGGGTGTTCCTCACTAAGAAGTACCCATACTCCTCTGTGCGGCCTGCTTCCAGAGGCCAGTACTGTCCGCACTTCACTCTGCCTCGCTCCACAACTCTGTGTGTGTGTGTGAGGGGAGAGCGAAGCGAGAGAGCGAGAGAGAGAGAGAGAGAGAGAGAGAGAGAGGGAGGGAGAGAGGGGTGTAAAGATATTTCTCACAGAGAAGTGTGGGGAATAGCATAAACAGTACAATGTGTGAACGGTGGAAAGGAAGATGAGAGGTGTTTCAGCCATGTTTACCTTGTTGTCATGACGATGATTAACACCACTTGCTCCCAGACCATTCGCCAGAAATCACCAAATGTTTTTGGCAAAGGGCCTGAAACCGCAAACATAAAACTCATCATTAGGGCAAACACAAACACGATAACGTTCACCATCACTTACTGACATCAAACGCTTCAATATTTACAACGTCTTTAAACATACGTCCTCTTCGTAAGCCGTATAAACTAAGCTTCAGGCAGAGTCCCCGTATTCCTCATCGTTGTGATGCCACTACCATGAACAGATGATGCCATCCCCCCCTCATATCCTGAAGAAGACCCCTGAACAAGCAAAGACTGCTTTTTTTGGATGAGGTGTAATATAATCAGGCTTTGTCCAAAAAAACATGAATGCTGAAGAACAGACTGCCGATGGAATGAAGATGATAGAGAGTGGTTTCTTACCCTGAGTGGCAATGTACGCGTTCGTCATCTTGTAGCCGTCCATGAAACTCGCGTTAATGTAGTCTGATGTCTGGAAGGGAAAAATAAAGGCAATAAATAAAGTCAGAGGAGGTCAGACTCCAATATATAACGTATTTTTCAGACAAACTGAAAGAGTACATCTGAAAGAATTATGTTAAGATAATAATAATAATAATAATAATAATAATAATAATAATGATAAAAATAAAGCACATCTACAAAATACGGGCGGTAATCAAACCCCCAACCCCAGAGGTGCGAGGCGAGCGTGCTAACCACTAAACCACCGTGCCGTGCCCTCCTTCATGTTCTTAACAGACCCAGACTCCGCTCGTCTTAACACACACCCCAAATATCTGATCTTTCGCATGACTTGGAAGTGAGTCCCTCAGTTATTAAGAGACTGTGAGAACTCTCTTTTCACTGAAAGATACTTACTGAGAAAATCAAATAATCAATTCATATATGGTAAATGTTGAAGATGCCGCTGACCTCATCGTCGTCGTCATTGAACGGGCAAAGTCGGACACGGGATTCGTCCAAGCAGAGCACGTCGCTGTAGCGGTTTTTGACCTGGTTCGCTGGGTTCCTGTTCAGACAAACACACAGTTATTCGAACTGTTTACACGCATCCAACACCGGGGGGAAACTGGAATGACCTGGCAACATAAACAATCACCTGCATCTCATTGTTTTTTAGCGTTCGAATGCGCCCGTCGCCCCCGTTCCAACACACTCGTCGCTACCATCCTAAACATTCATCACTAACGTTCTAATGCACTCATCAATAACATCTTTAATGCACTCGTCACCACGCCCATGTTTAAACGGCATTAATGTAAAAGATGCTTCCAGTATCCTTGTGTCTTGGTTTTATTTATATTACTTTCTGGATTTTTCATTACTTACTTTCAATCATTTTCAGTATTTATTTCAATATTAATGAAGTTTATCTACTCATAATAATACTAACGTAGGCCTTCTCATAATCCTCATCATCGCATTACTATACCTGTCACTGACTGGTAACTCATCATCATGACTCATGACTCATCAGCTAATGTACTGGTCATCATCAATCCAATTTATTCATATACATCATCATCATCATCATCATCCTCACTTGGAGTAATCAAAGGCTCCAGCAGGTGGTTCTTTCCGGATCTCCTCGTACTCCTGGTAGATGCCTTTCTTCTTCTTGGTTTTGACGTGCTGCACCAGCTCCTGCACCGTCATTCCCCCTGGCTCGGCTGTATGTACCGACGCCGTTCCAAGTGGCCAGCTTGTCTCGTGGGCTGGGCTACGCGACAGGGGTGTCGGCCTCGACGACTTCTGAGGAAGGGGCGGGACCCCGTCTCTTGCTTCCGCTTCCTGCTCTGCGCCGTTGCCTTCTCGCCGGCAGTCATTCAGGTCTCCCTTTGGTGTGGACGGTGTTTCTGTGTTGTTTTTGTGGTGCAGGGGCGTGTCCGGGGGCGTGTCTGACTGAGGGGGTGGAGCTTGACGGCCATTGGCGATGTTGGCGTTCGGACCAAGTGGTGTCAGGCCATTCCAATGGGTGTGCCGGTGGTTCTGAGGATTAGCGTTGCCGTCGTCAAGGCTGTTCCCAAGAAACGTGGCACCTGGGTTGGCGTTGGCTGTCTGGTTTTGGTCCTGGCAGTAGGAGCGCAGCAGACCATCCAAGCAGTCTGTGTTGCCATCAGTGGAGTTGTTCAGGGTGGAATTAACACATGACTGGATCCAGGCCATGTGGCTGTACTGTGATGAGCCCCCCAGGTGCTCTGGGAGCGAGCTGACTGGGATGTGATTGGCCAGTTCATGACCTTTTACTGTACACACCTTAGATGAAGGAAAACACACACCAGCAACCAAGTGGTCATGGTAAATAATATTGGTACAGAGTATAAGCATAACATTAACTAATCCCACAAAAAAAGTTACATTACATTTAAATTATAATAACTATTGTAGTGCATCTTTATAAACTTTATATCTACCACATATGTGCCATATAAAGTTTATTATTATTATTTATTTGCATTTCGTTACCCGTTATGCTTTCCTTCACAGCTCATATGATGAACTATTTTTTGAAATCCTCTAATTAGAGGTTATTCAAGCAGGGTGCGAATACTTACCCTCTCTCTGAGTTTCTCTCGCACAAAAAGACGCAGTACGGCGAACGGCGCTCGAAACCAAAGTGGCGACGACACGATGAACACGCACTTTAACCTGGCAGGAAACGCTCCCTGGATCAAACGGACAGAGTTAGTGTCGGTATCGACGATCGAACAATACAGACAGCTTGCTCTTCTTCGCTGGACAGAAGACGCCGTCAGTCGTTACGCGCTGAGAGTGCAGGTGAACACTTACCTTGAGAAGGTTTAAAATTTTGACACAGAGATCGTAGTCGAAGTTGGCGTAGGTGGAGTTTGTCATGTCGTAGATGAATATAAGACCATCTCTCTGAGTCTGAAGGCTAAAGAGAAGGGTGGGGCAGTAATCATAAGACCATGAAGAGAATGATTTTAATCTTTTCCTTTAGTGTGTAATGTATCTGTTTGTGCATGTATGAGATCTACAAAGTTACAAAGCTCAGAGTCTCCCACAAGGTGATTTATTCAACCTAACAGAGAACACTGCTCCGCTCGAGTCGCGCTCGCAAAGTTGCGTCCGCGTTTTCAGAATCTGTCTCGGGCTCGAGTAAAACCCACAAGGTTGTTTAGAATTGCTTTATTATTGAGCCTTGACCCTGGAAGCCGAAGCTCGCGATTTTGTAACGCTAAGGGGCGTTACATTTTTCCGACAAGCGCTTGAGGTTTTCAGCCAATCACAATGCAGTGGGTCATCGGGCCGATCAGAGCAACTCTGGGCTTTTCAGAAGGCGGGGCTTTGGAGAAACCGGAGCGTTTCAGACAGACTGGGAATAGATTTACTGCAATAATGTACAGTATGTGAAAAAAATTATGTGTTTATTCAACATTAATGCATGTTATTACACCCAACAAAGAAAAGAATGCACTTTTAAAATAGCATCATATGACCCCTTTAACCGAGTGATTTAAATAACCGGTTTAATGATTTGTCTGGTGACCTGTTTAATAATTCCACATTTATTTACGACCTCTTTCGAATACGCGGACATGTCGCGACGACCGAGACTGAATCGGACCGTGCCCCGTTTAAAACATCCGTCCGATTCAGTCTCGGTCGTCGTGACATTTTTGTATTGAGTTTCAATACTTAATCTGATCACCTGCTACACTTCTGATAAATACTGATTAGTAGGTTATTGGTTGGTGCAGCATAATATCTATCCCATATTCCCACTTGTCCTAGCTGAGAGATGCATCCACACGGCAATGTAGGCATCAAAAATGGCTGATTATTCCCCTACAAGTTCCCCTCCATTTTAAACATTTGGCTTTTTTTTCCTCCTTCCTTCAAAACGTCTTTGGTAAACAAGTTAGTTTGCTTGCTTACTGGAAGTTAAGAAAAAAAATAAGTTCTGTGCAACTTTATTTCTAGTGCATTGAAAACACTTTCAGTCTCTACCTCTCTATGGCTTTGTCCAGCTGATAGATGATGGCTTGAAGGACAGCCTTATGGGTAGTGAAGTCAGGACGGTGGAGACGGGCAGTGAAGAGCGCCAAGGCTGCACCCTTAGCGTCACGCCCTGGCTGCAAGTGCGCACACACACACACACACACACACACACAGTTATAAACACAGGAACACGCTGCAGCTGTTTACTCATAATGCACATGAACTGGAAAGATGAACCCAAACACGTACAGCATGAACCGAACAAACGCTTCTACTGTGCATGACACCACCATTAAAACATAAACAAAAACTCAAACTCAACATGCACCAAACATTCAACTGAACATCACAACAGACACTTCAAGACTTTGGTGCGTTCGCTTATTAACGATGTACGAAAGCAAGGTTTTATTTTCAGTTTTATTTCGACCGACAAGAATCGCTCGTCACAAACGACTCACCAGGACCGTAAATTTGCCACTCAATATCTCCGTCCTCAAAGGTTCTTCATGTGGGTTGATATCGTAGATACCTTCCTTTATCCTAGTATTCTGAAGAGACAGATGTAACACACAAACACACACACACACACACAGAGTCCAGTTTGTTCTGCTGCATTTGTATTTAAAGAATGATATCAGATACATTGTGTATAATCTACTACAGTCTATTTATATTCAACAGTTAATAACGTCTGGAACAATCACACGCATGTTGGTGCAACGTTTTCCATCTTGGGATTTTTTTATATCCATTTTTAGACCGGCTGGCATTCACACAGTTTGGCCCAAAATAAACCGAGGGATTAAATTACTCCGAGCTGCCGGAACGCTGTCCGGAACACCACAATTCACAGAATTGGTGTTTAGTTAGTGTTACTAGTAGGACAGCAGCCATTTTAGGAAGCGTTTCCAGGCTGCAGAATCCACTGAAAGGATTCTTAATAGGATTTTCATATTCTGTCATCTCGGTTGGCATCCAAGGGACTACCCACAATGCACCGAGAAACCCTATCCCCATGGTTTTTTGTTTTCCCCACCTTACACCCAACAAAGAAAAGAATGCACTTTTAAAATAGCATCACATGACCCCTTTAACCGAGTGATTTAAATAACCGGTTTAATGATCTGTCTGGTGACCTGTTTAATAATTCCACATTTATTTATGACCTCTTTCGAAACTGAATACGCAGACATGTCGCGAGTGAAGTAGTGAAGTAGTGCAACTCTACACCAAAACCTGTAGACCGACACCGTGAGTAGGACTTTACCTTGTAAGCCTGGAAGAGGTCTATGGCTCTGGAGACGTCGAACTTTCGTGCCATGAGAAACTTGACGGCAGTGATCTGACTGACGAGGGTGGTGTTCTGCGACTGTTCCCTGCATCTTAATTCAGCCAGGAACGCCTCCACCGCCTGACACACAAACACACACAATATTCAAATATGTTCATGACGTGCCGTGATGCCATTCATGACCAGCAGTGTTAATGTGAGTGATGTGCTGTCTCGTTCCGTTACTGTTTTATTCCACATGCTGTGAAAAAGACAGCAAGAGAATCTTGAGAACCAATCCCGGTATGTGTATTAGACATCGGCTGATTAATTGGCACAGATAACCGATCACTGGAACTATCGTTTATCCGCAAAAATCCACACCAAAAATTTTTCCCCAGTTGCGTCGCAGCTAAGAAGCGTCCTCTGTCGTTATTATACGGCACGAGAGCGGCCTCTAGAGGCGAAATAAAAACC